TGCTCACTCATACTTTTGTTTGAAAGGATGAAGAGGGACTAATTTAGTCTATGCTTAACAGCTATGATCTGTATTTCTTTTTCATAAAATAAGCCCATTTCTACCGTTTCAATCTGCTAGAAGCCAGATGTGATACTAGTATTTTTAAAATGGAAATGCAGATCAGCCTAGTGTTTGTACAAAGCACATCTCTCTTGAAGCAAACAGAGGCTTACACTGAGGTATTTCCAACATTACAATGCAAATGATGAAAGCACTATGCACAAATAAATAACATTTATTTGATTTCACGAAATTTTGCTATAGGCATTAAATCTTAATCACAAAATATGTTTTGACTTTGATTTAAATCATTATATATATAGAATCCCACACCAGCAAGGGTACTCATGACTAGGGGTTCCCCATTCCTACTTTAGTACTTCCTGACAAATACATGTATGTTTTTTCTATTCACAGGAAGGATGAGGGCATATTTTCCTCAACACAAAGAACTTTTTCCATAAGATAATCCGCAGAGTCGTCAGTCACCTGACAGCTACGGCTGGCTGGTAGTCCTGTCCTCAGCCTCCACTGAGAGAATGAGGAACTCATAAAAAGGAGGACAAGGCAGCTACTGATCAGTTGCTAGCCTAGGCCCAAAGTCCTCAAGGCATCATATATATTTCTGTGTTAGTTGTTCTCAAAAAAAAAAGTGAGCAATTCATGAAATACTATTTCAACAGCACACTTAGATGTATGCTCTTTTAAGCTTCTACTAAACCAATGTCCAATTGTCCCTCTCTAGAGAGAAACAACATGGATTTATCTTGTTTTTCCAACTGCCTGCTAACACCACCCATGCTGCGGTATCTTTTTCTTCCAAATATAAAGTGCGAGTGTTTGGTTTAGCGTATTAAGGGACTGAAAATCCTCTTCCACTTCAGAACAAAGTCTGTTTTTCATTTGGGACCATATCATTTGCTGTGCCCCCGAACGTGGGGCTATTCCCTCAGAGCCTGATGCGGGCCTCACCCACGTGCATCACAACCCACCTCCCACTTCTTCACCACTCTCATATGACGGGCGCTGCTCCCACTGCCTTCACCCAGCCACTGATGTTGTCAGCGTGATCATGGCAATGGTATTGTTATCAGGAAACCAATGCTTTTTTAAGCCCCCCTCTTAAATACCAAACTGGTAATAAGCAGCTTTAAAGCACACTGCTCGGGGGCATTGCGCAGAGCAGGCAGATCCCATAGCCCATGTGAGCAGGTAGACACGGTGGTGCTGAACAGCTGCCTCCAGAACAACAAGCAGCTGACATTCAAATTATTTCCTCAGCATCGCCCCAGGTGAGCATTTCCTCGGGTGAAATCCCAGCTCAGCAGTGGCCGATGGCCACCTCGCCACGGGTGGAAACGGGCCGAGTTTCTGGCCATGATGGTGGAAGCCAGTGAGCAGCACGTCACCCCCTCGAAACCAAGGCTGAAGTTGAGATAAGGGCAACACTGAGTTTGTAAAATATGATTCTGGATTCCAGACAGATAAACAGTCTTAGGCCTTTGATGTACTGAGAATTCCCCTCAAGATACTGACTAGGGCTGTGTGAATAATTGACTTTTTCAGCTGAATAGCTGAAGCAACCAACCAAACAAACCCCAACTTGTTTGTTAATTAACATTTTTTTTCTCCCTTGAAAACTGAAAAAAAAAAAAAAAAAAAGAAGGAAAAGTGTAGTTTGGGGCTGCTGAATTGTTTCATTCAAACAGAAATTGTCTCTCTTTCATCTAAACTATTTTTTTCCAGACAAAAGCCATCTAAAAATGCAATACAAAGTTTCTGATAGGAAATAAGGGCATGGATAGAAACACAGAACATTTACTGAGCCAATGGGAGTACCTCTGTATCCCATGATGTAAGACAATTCTCAACCAAGGCCACCTGAGGTGTATTGGTTCCTGCTTGGGGAATTTGGAGAAACACCTATCCTACTTGAAAATCCTGGGAGACATGCCCGAGTCAAAATTCCTGCCTGGTTCTAGGAATCGGGACCTAATGCTTCAAGTACAATGCTGGAAAGTAGCGGGGAAGTGCCATCTATTAACTTCTTTGTTGCGTACTTAAGTCTTCCTACAATCCTGAATCAGATGTTTCACTTGAGAAGTATCGAAATGAATTATCTCCATTTTTCTGTTGCTCTGCTAAAAGGTCCATGAAATCCATTGAAAAACCTGAATTTGCCAAGAGTCTTGATTGCCCCAAAGTGTACTTTCAGTGTTAGCCTCATTAGGTTTTTGATCTCTTTGTCAAAAATATAGAAAAAAGGCTATATATATTCACAGGTCAACAAAATAATATCCCAAGAAGTGCTGCAGTTTTATCCAAGGAACTAAAACCCAGCACAGATCAGCAACTCAGTAGTTAGCAATGGAAAACAGCACTGGTAAGAAACAGTGAATGAAATCAACCACCTTAGTTTTATCATTCAAACTGTCAGAAGGATAAATGTAAGCTGCTGGAAAGTTCAGTCCTGCCTACTCACATCTGCGTTTGTATTACAGACACGCACTCTTGGATGTGTCACAGGCTCAAGTATTTACGATGATTTCATGCTAAATCACCGCCCTATGACTGGGTGACATTTCTCTTGAAGGTGCCCATTCCTCCATGCTCCTGGTGGGACCCACGCTGCAGAGCCGCCTCTGAGGACAGTTCTCCTGGACTGCAGCGTGAGCTGGGCTGCACCCTCCATCAGTTACCATTAATTTTAATTCAGAAATTAAACAACTACCCTGATGTAAGCCACTGCCATTTGTTCAGGAAAAGTCACTGCAGCCAGTGAGGCTACCCACAGCATGACAGAAGTTATCCAAAACCAGCTCTGCAGCTCAAGGGAAATGCAGTACCCCTACTTCTGACACTTTTGCAGCTGTATTTTCATTTAAAAAAAATATTACAGTCCAAAGCATATTACCTCTAAAACACAAAATGAAATGGGGATCCGGGAGTGCATGCTGTATTTTGAGCCGTATTATGCAATTGAATCAAGATTACATAACCAGAGTGTGATTACAGAAATGTGGCTCCCATTACACAGAGCCTGGCTACGATTACAGAGTGGCAGCCCATCACAGATTACACATCTGTAACGAGAAATTAAATTTATTGTTAATATTACCTATTAACATTTCAGTTTAGAATGCAAGCACGCAGGCTTTGAAGCGCACATTATAGCTACTTAGCTACTAAGTTACTAGCAGCAATTTGTTTTAGACTTTTATTTTATCCCACAAGCATTCTCTTTTTTTTATAATTAACATCTTAAACTTCAGGAGGAATGTTATTGAAACTCTTGTATATTACGTGTGCCTACTAATGGTGCACCCATAAACATCCTGTGTTATCAGAAACTACTATTACTTTGTGGAAAAACTCTTAAGGGGATTAGGCAAAAAATACAGGTTAAAAAGCTAAATATTAGTTACTTATCTAATAATTTAGTGGTTTTCTTTACTGAGTCATTTTATGATCTCAGTAAACCTTAACCTAAGCCTTCAACACTGAATACTGCAGAAATGTGCTGAACTGTTAAAAGAAACAGACAGAATTTAGTATTGTCCTTCTAAATCCTTGTTTAAAATAATGACAAATGTAATCACTGTAATAAGATGGGTTACCACATTGCATGACATGTTAAGAGTAGCTACAGAACTTCCGTATACCTCTGCCTTAATGTAAATTAAGATTATTTTTTTTTCTGGTAGGTGATTTTTATATCCCAAGGTGACCTAGGGAACTTGACCTATTCCTCTTCAAATGAAACGCAGAAAAAAATGCTACCTGATTAAAAAAAAAAAAAGTGGTAGGCCCGAATGAAACAAGGGAGAAGGAAAACACACTTACAAATGAGTCCATTACATAACCAAATTTTCTGTGTTAAGGTAAACTGAGTCTTTACTCCTGCTCATGCAAGCAGTTCCACAGAAGCAAACAGGAGTAACCTTTTCAAACAAATGAATAACATGTTATTATTTACTCCTTCCCCCATCCTCCCTGAGATAGGAATTTAAGAAGTTACTCAGCATCAGTCAGTGGCAGACGAGGAGCTGTGCATGCCCACTGGGCTCAAGGGCATTCATGAAGTGAGCAGCAAAAAACCCACCCCGCCACAGCCATGTGTACACTGCCCACTACAAGGACCACGAAGAAGGACGGGTTATGAGTTTCGCCAGCAATATTTACCTACTTATTAAAAATGTCTTTATGAAATACTTCTAAGGATATTCTGCAGGAGAGAAAGAAAATACAAATAAAACATGTTGATTCAGCTGGGAAGGAGGCGAGATCCTCTGCTGGGGGAACCAGGAACCTCCTCCAGAGGGGAGAGGAGAGCTGGCCAGATCTGTCCAGCTGCTGTCGCTGCAGAGACACCCCGAATTCGGTGGTCCTTCTGGGCAGGGGCATTTTAGGCCGGCACAACTCCACCACAGCAGCACCAGGTGTGACCTCTGGGGCCACTGCAGAGGACAGCAGTGGACAAAGAGCTGGGGGCAGCAGCTCTGGCATCACGCCTTGCACCAGCGGCTGGACTTCACCGAGGAGGCCAGCAAGCGTGGAGAGGCCATGAAGCACGAAGGCCAACAAGCACGGCCAACCAGCTGGAGAAGGGCAGGAGGTGGAGGACTCCAGTCCTGAGCTCCTCTTGCTTTGGGACCCTGTGCCTTGTCTCGGTGCCACATGCCAGCGGGCCAAGCAGAGGGGCAGGAGACACACAGGAGGGCATGATGCCTGCCTCTGCTCCTCGCCCCTCCGTGCTGCCCCGCACCTCTGCTATGCTGAGAAGTGCCCCGGGAGCGAAAGATGCTCCCCTTCCTGCCCACCAGCGACACCAGTGCCTCGAGGGGAACCTCTTGCCTGGTCCCAGCCAAGGTTGTCCCACCACCCTTTGGGGTCACCACCCTTAGGGCTGCACAGCCACCCGCGCCCCACACCCGTGGTGGGACCCCCGTCCCCCCTACCTGCCCCTTGACCAGGCTGGCCGCGAACTGCCTCATGACGGCCTCCACCGTGTAGGCGCTGGACCAGCCGCGGGGGGTGAGCAGCTCCATGCAGATGGCTCCGCCGTCCAGGACGTAGCCGTTCTCCAGGCGCGGGCTCAGCACCCTCATGAAGGGCGGCGAGAAGGGGAAGTTGTCGGGGAAGGTGAGGTTGAGCAGGATGTACTCCGTGTTGGTCTCCTTCATGTCCTGCCACAGCACCGAGTCCTTGTCCACCTGGTGCAGCTTCACGTTCCAGTCGAAGAGGCTCTCGTCCACCAGCTCCACCGAGATGAAGCGGTCGCTCAGCCGGGCGATGTCCTGCAGCTCCTTCATCAGCCGCCGGCTCCGCACCTGCGTGCAGTGCTGCTGCCGGCCCGCGGGTGCCAAAGGGCCGGGCACCGACGGCGGCGCCACCGGCCCGGAGCCTGGCCCCCGAGCCGGAGGAGCCGGAGCCCGAGCCGGAGCCCGAGCCGGAGCCGTGCCGGCCGCCCCCATGCTGCTGCTGCTGCTGCTGCTGCTGCTGCTGGGCCGCCTCCTTGCCGGCCGGGGGCTCCTTGGGCGCCTCGCGGGGCTTCTCCCTGCCGCCCGCCTTCTTGTCCTTGCGGCCCCCGGGGCTGCTCTCGCTGCTGCTGCTGCTGCTGCCGCCGGCGGGGGGGGGGGGGGCCCTGCGGCTGGGGCTTGTTGCTGCTGTTCTTCTGGCCGCCCCGGCCCCGCAGCGAGGAGCCCTGCTGCCCGCTGCTGCCGCGGTGGTGGTGGTGGTGGTGGTGGTGGTGCTTGGGGTCCTCCGTGTCGCGGCTGTGCAGCCGGATCAGACCGATTTTCCGCAGCAGAGTGGCCATGTTGTGCGCGGCTCCCTTCTCCCTCCTCCCTCTTAATATTTTAATTTTTCTCTCTTTTTTTTTTTCCCCCTTCGCCGAGGGAGGAGGCTCTTTATCCTCGAGGAGCCCCCGCCGGGCTGCCGGTGGCCGCGGGGAGGAGGAGGATGAAGAGGAGGAGGAGGGAAGGGGGGGGAGCACGGCGAGCCCCCGGTGCTGCAGGGGCGGCGGGCAGCGAGGCGCCGGCGCTGCCGCTTCAAGGGGGGGTTGGGGGGGGGGGGGGCGTGCGGCCGCCGCTCCAACGCCGCCCTCCCCTCGCTACGCCGGGGGCATCACCACGGCAAAACGGGCGGAAAAAAAATCAAAAAATCAAAAAAAAAAAAAAAGACTAAATAAATACAGAGATGTATGAAGCAGAGAAGCGCCACGCACAGCCCCCCGGCGCAGGGCGGGCTCTCCCGCTGCCGCAGATGGCTCCCCCGGCACCTCCCGGCTCGCCCCCACCCCCGGCTCCCCCCTTTCCCCCCCCCCCCCCGGGGGCCGGTCCCCGCCGCGCCCCCACCCCCGGCGCCTCCCCCCGGGCCGGGGAGGGCGGGGGCTCCGCGCCCCCCGCCCCTTTGTTCCGTGCCCCCCCCCCGGGCACCCCCCGCTTGGCGGTGCCGCAGCCCCCTGTACACGCGTGGGGGCTGCGTGTGCCCGGGCACGGCCAGCGTGGGTGTGCAAGGGCTGCGGGAGCGTGCCCACGCGTGTCCCCTGTACCGCCCAGTGTGTGGCCGTGGGGGTAGTGCCCACGCACACGTGCGTTGCTGTGCGTGTGTGTCGTGTGCTGGTGGTGCACAGCCCCCATCCCTCTGCTACCTCCGTCCATCCACCCAGGGCTGCCTGCAGCATGGGGGAGAAAAGACGATTCCCCAAGTGTGTCCCCACAGCCCTCAGAGACTGGAAAATACATTAAAAATGCACTGAATGCTTCGGATCAGGGAGTAGGCAAGGCCCAAAGTGCAACTGTATCAATCATGCAGAGTATGTAAAGCAATGGGCAGTGTGTGCATGGAGCAGCACCTTATCCTACGGTATTTTTTCCAAGCAAACACATCCCCTTCTAGGAGTGCCCTCAAACCCCGTCCATCCTCAATGGTTTTGAAGAGTTGCCTGCACTGGAAAAGGGCTGCTGCACTTCTGTAAAGAAGTCCAGGAGAAACCACTTGGGCTTCTTGAAAGATACTGCAGGACACACTACATTTTCATCAAAAACTAGCTTCCAAAAAACTTGCTTCCAAAAATTGCCGGGGTCTGTTCATTTTTCAGCTTGTTTTCCCTTCCTTCTTGCTGTTACTCAGACCCCTTGCTTTTACCAGCGGGTCCACATTCACCAGGTGACCTGCTCACCAGCAACTGTTACAGCAAATAAGATAAAAACCACCCAGTCTCCCCGCCAGGCTCTACAGATGGACCCAAATGATAGATTTGCCTGATATACCGTAGCTTAAAAAAATAATAATAAAAATAAATCCTGCAGTTTTAAAAATCAAGATCCTAGAATTATATTTGTTTTTCAAATATGGCATTATTAAGGGCTCAAAATCTTATTAAAAACCTTTTTTTTTTTTCTATGAGGTTGTTCACGATTTCATTTATTTTCTCAGTTTGTGCGATCTGCACAGAGTGTAGGAATAAGTATTTATTCATTTTAAAGTTTACCTAATAATGTAGCAGGAAGGCTTGCTGTATAAAATAGGTATTTGAAGAGATCACAGCAAATGTAATCTAAATTACGGGCCACGTGCCATCAAGAAGGATGGGGGGGATGCACAGCATGACTCCATGGCCCTGGCAGGGTTGGCTGCACTGTGACACCATGGGGCTTGCAGGGTGGTGGCACTGCTCTGCAGCTCCTTTGGGAGGGCAGGGGATGGGGAAGCTGGAGGTGGAGACCCGCCTATTGCTCCCAGAAAACCCTGTAGAGGAGGGTTAGGAGACATGGTGGAGCTGGCCTGCATGTGCTACCCGGTGCACCTCTCATTAATTAGTCTGCTTTGAATGGAAAGAAGATGAAGAGCTGCAAGCTGGAAACGATGCCCCAGGAACCATGTGTGGTTTCCAGCACTGGAAACCAGCTGCTGTCTCTTTTTTTTTTTTTTTTTTTTTTTGCTGTTGACCTGCTCAGTCCCAAAGCCTGTTAGTATGGTAACCCTTAGGATTGCTGGTCCTTGCCTGTGGAGGTACCTGGGGTCTGTTGCAGATGATGTTGGATAAATTTCCCCATCTGGGTAGATGTGCATGTGAAATACGGGTTGTTTCCTGGGAGGCCAGGTCCCAGAGAAGCTGGAGGTGGGTAGGCTGACTTGGCTGGTAATGTCCTGTCCACCTGATGTTGCTCTCCTACCATACTTTTCTCTACAGCACACCCTGCCTGCGTGACTGAGGAACTTCTGGATTAGGCAATGCCAAAGTGTGTCCAAGCCTTCCTGTATGAAACTTCTGGAGTCCCAGACTCCTACTGAGCTAACAGTGGCCCATCCATGGAGCTGGGAATCTCTGGAGCACAGACAAACTGTGTGCAGATGGGTGATGCTCCTGAGTGACCTGTAACCTGTGCTTTGATGAGCACAGGACTCCAGCAGGACTCGCAGGGGGAGAAGCACAGAAGGATATCACTGTTTGCAGCTGGAGCAGGGCAGAGAGAAATAATATAGGACAGGTCTGGAGGCTTCTCCTGCTGGGGTGCAAAAGCTGGTGGTCAGAGAAGCACCACCTGCAGCTGCAGTCCGAGTGGGCGGTCACGCAGGACACGGCATTTGGTGGTTGTTCCTGGCTGAGTGTCCAGTGCCAGCCAGGACAGGCAGGCGCATATGTTGGACTGACCCAGAATGCCAATTAGCAACTGGAGCCTTTGTGTTGGCTCCATTAGTGCTTCAGACTGAAAGGTCACTGCATGGTGTCCCTGTGCTAGTTGGCAGGAGGAGCCACAGTCGTAAATTTAACATGACGAAAGTTATTTACCTTCCTCATATAACCGCTGAGGTATCTACCCAGTGGGGAAGCCACAAAAAAGAGCAAGGTCCCTGCAAAGGCAGACAGGAGCCAAGCGGTGCCATTGTTTCGTAAAACACTACAAGATTAATGATGGGAGTGATGAGAAAGCTGGTTTGATGGGGCGGAGGGTGTAATAGGTGTGCCCTGACAAATGGGTCTGTGCTGCGACAGGCAGCTGCTCTCATCGTGCTGGTACAACCCGTGTCCGTACTGTCTGCAGGATAAAACAGCTGTAGTGATGTAGCGGACTCTTCTTTTTCATAGCCGAGCTTCCTCAGCAAGGGAATTAGTTGTTAGTCCAGGACAGGCTGTAGACTGATGCAAGTCTAGGGCCTTGAAGGAATACAAAATGAATCAGCTTGACAGTGGAGGTTCCTCCTGCATCAGTCAAACTGTCCTTACCCAAATGTTCATTGAAAAACATCAAATTTTGTCCATGATCACTCTTTAAGGAATTCTCATCAATTCTTCTTCCATAGTACCTTGCACAGAAGAAACCTGTCTATTAACTCTATTCATAATTACATTTTCTCACCAGTTTGCTAGGTGCAGAAGTCAAACTGAACTGTTCTGCAATCTCCCAGACACTGTCCTCTTGTTCTTTTTTTTTGGAGCAAAACTAATTGCTCCACTTGTGGTACATAAAGACATCCTAGAGTGATGCAACTACTTGAGAACCGAGGAGGTAGAGGGCATCCTGGCATGAAAAATAGGCTGACATATGACAGGTATGTCTCCTGTATCTTCAAACAGAGAGCTGCTTTCAGGCACAGCCATTGTGTATCGATTACTGAAACCAGATAGTGCTCGTAGTTCAGGTCTAGCAGCAGCCCTTGACTTCACATGGAGCAGACTGCAGCTGGTGAAGGGCATCTCAGATGCTTTTTGCAGATGGGTAGGGAGGCATCTGTCCTTAGCTGGAGATGTAGAGCTCTGAACTGCTATTGCTTTTCGGTGTTTCTTGGGGCTACCAATAAGGTCTGTATGGCAGTGGTGTTTTTTTTTGTTTGTTTGTTTTTTTTGTTGTTTGTTTGTTTCATTTTGTTTTAGCAGCCTAAGTCTGGCCTGTGATTTTCTCATTTTTATTGAGTTTGCAGAAAAGGAGTTTTCTGAGACTCAGTTAAAAGTTTGGATGTGTACTGTTTGCACCAACATATATGCAGGACATTTTTAAGGCTCAGATGAACAAGTTAGAAGATGTTACTTTAATTGTAACAAGAGCAAAGAAACATTCCCAGGGTGACTGGGTGAACAAAATGCACATCTTTGTAGGAGAATTAGAAGATCTGGTCTTGTTTAGAATAGCCCAGCAAGGACTGAATGGGGGTGTGGTGACACTATATAAATATATTTGAGAAGTAAATGTCAGAGAGGGATATTGACTTCATCACATGATCAAATGGCTGTACAGTGAGTAATCCTGAATGCATTTGGACTGGAAATCTAAAGGCTTTCAGCTATCTGACGAATGAGGGGCTTGAATGCTCTTCCAAGCTCTGGAAGCAGTAGCCTTCAGTCTTGTAGGATGGAGCCTGAGAAGCTTATGGACATAATTGTACAACAGAATAGAATAGGAGAGGATAGAAAATTAGGCTTATGTTATGAGTCCCTTGGCATCTGATATGTCGGTATCCCCAGTTGTGTGAGAAAAGAAATTAGATCACTGTTGATTTGCATTACACTTATAATAATTCCATGCCTCAGGGCTTCCACTGGAGCTGGAAAATATTTTTCATTCCTCTTGATGCATAATTTGTCCTCTACTGGTCTTTTTGACTTCCACTGTAGGTCTGTAGGACTGTAGGTCCACTGCAGGTAGATTATTATAGGTGGCATTAAAACCTTAAGGTTTTAGTGTCCTGCTCACATCCTCAGGATTAGGCCAGCCTCTAGAACTGGATGTCTTTTAGAGTTGTTTACCCAGATCAGCTTGGTAGGCACCATTGATTTCCTTTACAGCATGGGACACAGTCTCCTTCCTAGAACCAACAGAGGTTTCATTTAACAAATTATTTGAAAATCTACAGACTTTTTTTTTTTTTTTTTTTTTTTCCTAACAAGCAAACTATTTACTCTTCTCTTCCTTCTTTGTATGACTGGGTTATCCCAATACTTACTAGTATGTGTGTGGGCACCTTTGATTATTTTTCTGCCTCCTTTCATCCTCCAAAGTAACATATCTGATATTTGCTGATCCATTTTTTTAAGATATTCCACACGTGGAGGATGCAATGCTTAATATCAAATTTACTGATTGGAAGATAATTAATCTTACAGAGGATTTTCATTTAGAAAAGTGATATAGCAGCATACTGAAATCACTGTGCAACCACAATATAGCAATTGCACTATACCCTCAGATCACAGCACAAATGTGATTGCCATTACTGGTCTCTATATACAAACCATCACAACGCTGGGCATCCAGAGTCACCAGGAAGAAATGTGCAGGTCTGAAGCCAGCTTGAGCCTGTTGATCTCTTCAAAATTCTTCTGCTAGTTGTTTGTTTTTTATACTCCATGTTGGGCTGAGACATGCATTCACTCCCCCTCATGCGGGTCTGACACAACTGGAGACATTCACACTCTGTTAATGAAGGGAGAAACATTTATACCACCAGTCCATCCATTTGACTGTCGATGGCTGTTTATCTAAAACAAAGGCCACTCTCCAGTCCCTCTTTTGTGTTGGGATAAACTCAGCTTCTTTGCAACAGCTGTGGCCAGTCACAGCCCTCATTAATGCCTGAGCTTCATGGGCACATCATCCTTGTGTAGGTGGTTATTGGTCAGTCACACAACACCGCTTATTTATAAGGGGATATTCAGAGGAAAGGCAATGCTAGCAAACATCAAGAAGAAGAAAGACACAGAGCTATTTTCACTCCTGGAACATAAAAGCCAGTAGAGGTGCATGTGTGGTCCCTATATTGCTGCTGACACATGCTCCGAAGTTACCTTCCTCTCAGTGTCACAAGTCCATCCCACATTTCCAATCTCTTTCACCGAGTTAGAGAAACAAAATGCATGAGGTAACATCCACTCTGCAGACATGATAAGCCCAGATAAATGCAAATGATACATGGTTAAATAAATTGGGTAAATGAATAGCTGCTCTATCACAGCAACAGCTTTTAAGGATGAGGAGGTAAACAATATTTCTGGAGAATATAATTGCCTGTCTGCTCTTTAAGTCTGTGCAGCGCTGGAAATTTTCAGACTTTTCACTTTCATAGCGTTCACCTTCATGTGTTGCTGCTTACTGACTGAAAGAGATTCACGTCCAGGAATTCTGAATCATGGAGCATCCTTTGCTTTGCGTAAGATGACCATCACATATACACACAAGTATGTTTGAATTCTTCCACTCACACACACACCAAAAAAATTAAAAAAAAAAAAATGACACAGTTAGTAATCCTGAGAAAAGCTTTACTGTGAAGTACAGAAAGCACTCATAAATTTCTCCCAGAATAAAAGTACAGTGCATTCTCTACCTTGTTCCACCTTTAGCCTTGACTTCTTCTGGGCACATTTTCATGCTACAATGTCACCCTTACAGTCCTTCCTCAGCTGCTCAGTGAGGAAGCTGTATCTTATGCAGTGCATGGAGGAATGGCAAAAACATGATGGGCATTCTGCTCTGGATACAAAAACTCCTGTTTGTCATTGCAGACAGAGACTTTCTAGACTTTCTGGCTAGAATTTCCAAAGATCTGAGATCGTGAACTTTCCTGGCCTGCTTCATGTAACCAGAGAACCTGGAAGCTGCCGTCTGCTCCACGTGAAGTTGATGGCTGCTGCTAGAGCTGTTTTGCTAGCAAGCACACAGTGGCTGCACCTGAAAGCAGTGCTCCAGGTACTCCACCATGCCAGGCGTGAGTCACCAAAGGGACTCACAGACCATGCTTGTTACCAGCTCAGTGCGCCAGGTTAACCCCCAGCTAGACACAGGCACAAAGACCTGAAGTCAGATAAGTAACACAAGTGTCAGTCTGAACCACATCAAGCTAACATGTGGAGACAGCCAAAACCATTGAATCTGACTTTAAAGGCAAAACGCTGGAGTTTCAGTAATTTAGTTTCAAATACTTCACAGTGCCAATGAATCATTTTTGGCTCCTGAAGTTTTAAAGCTGCATACCAGACCGTTTGCTCACCTGAAGTGACAGAAACAGGACCAAGTTCAATAGTAACAAGTCGTGTGCTGAGGGGCTAATGATAAGGAATTTTTATGGAAATCTTGAGGAGCAGACAAAGAAGATAGAGAGAGAGAAGAATGTAGTGGTAGACAGGATAAAAAGGATGTGCTGACAGAGTGATGCAACTTGAAAAAAAGAAAGGCAAATGTGACTGATGGTAGACAGGGAGTTACTTTTAGAAAAAGATGGGGAAGCATTAGTACCATTGCATAAGATGTTCAGAAGTTCCAATCTGAATCCCAGAACAACACAGGCTCATATTTGATGCCTGCTGAACACTTCTTTCTTTGACTCCTGTCAATCCTTTGTGTTCTTTTAAATGCAAGCACATTCTCTCATCTTCCTCTGTACAGCACACAGCCATAAGAAAGGTCAATTGCAAAGCATTTATGGGTAATAAACTCTTTCTCCTCTTCCCTAAGATCTTAGCATTGTCAGCACAACGACAAGAGGCATGCTTTAGCTGCATGTTTCTCAAATGGCAATTATAACTCCCAAGTGGAGTAGAAAAGCTAAATACTTTAAGAGATAGTTAGATTAATTGAAAGATTACTGGCAATGGCTTAGTTCCTCAAATGTGAGGAGTGTGTATTTACCTAGACTGTCATACATTGTTCCCAAGAACTGTGATCAGGTCTTCACACCTTGGTCTTGGAGAAGCTGCTGCTGCCACCAGCTGGTAGTTCACTGGTTCTTGGCTGGAGAGATGTCCCAGGAAGGCACGTAGGCCACAAAGTAGCTAACATCTAGAGGAAGCTAAAGAAACGTTGCTTCAGCGCCAAATCCCTTTTGGCATTTGACAAAAGGCAAGGCCTGTGTTGTTAACAGGGCAATCTTACCACAGCATTCACAGTAAGCAGTTATCCACGGGCACAGCTGGAACAACAAGCGTACTAAATTGGTGGTTCTAAATCCACCAATTTAGTGGTTCTTTAAAAAGAACCACTAAATCAGTGGTTCTTTTCCTGCCCACTCTGTATGCATGAAGATGCACGCAGAGATCTTGGATTATCAGAAGCTGTGTACATCGCTGTAGACTGCCTACTGGTTTGTCATTAAGAAGCCAAAAGATGAAGGCTTTGCTTTATTAGGTTTAGCAACAACAGGCATTTTGTCATACAACTTATTATAGTTGATTAACTTCTATAACTGTCATACAAATACTATGGTTGATCTGGAGGAAAATATAAAATTGTAAATAAAAGAAGTGCACAGAAAGGCCCGTGTAGTGACAGATAGTGTGGAGGCAGCCTACACTGAATAGTTGGGTTTGTGAAATTAATGCATTTTAGTACAAACAAATTGCAAAGTCACCTTCCTCAGAGCAAATCGTGCAAGTTCATTTAACTGGATCAGCCCAAACTTCCAGCAGAACTTTGCGGCAAAGAGGAGTTTTGCCGTCCCACAGTGTACTAACAAGAAAGGAGTGAGCAGCATGCAGGATGGGAGAACACAGGGACTCACAGCTCTGCAAAGACCAATATCAGATTTCAATGTGCAGGTCATCTTTCTTTTTCTGACAATATTGAAAAAATTGGAAATACTGCAGAGAAAGCTGAAAGTGATTCAAGAAAATGGTGTAAAGAGTTTGGTTTGTTTAATTTATCATACAGTGGACTGAGAGATGATTCAATTATTTGATTAAAGCATAGAATAGATATCTCAGAACAAAACTAACTGGATAATAAAGCATTTCTTCATCAGGTAGGCAGAGATGTGAAGAGAATAGAAACCTATAAATTAGACTCTTACTCAGGCAACTTTTGTGATTAAAACCTATTTAAAGATTGGACACTGAATGTGAACAGTAAAGAAAATAACTTTCCCAGAAATGCAGGCAGATTGCAAAGAGGGTGGAATATAAATGCACAAGAGTGTGAAGAATGACTTTAAAGTTGAAGAGTTACTTGAGTTCTCCAAAAAAGAACAGCGGAAACAGTCTTTAGTTCAATGCCTACCTGTATCACAGTGTCTTTTAGGAAGGACCTTTGTATCTGCTGCATGACCTTGCTAGTAGAATCACAGAATCAGTTAAGGTTGGAAAACACCTTCAAGATCATCTGGTCCAACCATCACCCTACCACCAATGTCACCCACTAAACCATGTCCCTAAACACCATGTCCAACCTTTCCTTGAACACCCCCAGGGACAGTGACGCCACCATCTCCCTGGGCAACCTGTTCCAATGCCTGACTGCTTCTTCTGAGAAGAAATGTCTCCTAATTTCTAGCCTAAACCTCACCTGGCACAACTTGAGGCCATTCCCTCTAGTCCTATCATTGGTTATCTGTGAGAAGAGGCCGACCTCCAGCTCCCCACACTTTCCTTTTAGGTAGGTGTAGGGAGCAAAACATGACAAGGTATACCAGAAACCTGGGTGGCTATAACTGTGTCTAGAGTGTCCACACAAGGTGGGGTGAAGGAGCTACATGTACAAGCCTTTTGCCCCGTTGTGTTTTGAAGTCCCCCAAAGCCTACTGCTGCCTGTCTGCTCCTAACTCATATACTGTGATGGTTTTGAAGATGAGCAGTTCAGAGACAGTCCCAGTTTGAACTGCAGGCAGCTTCTGAGCTGTTCTGGTGATCATAAAGACCCTTCATTTTGATCCTGGTGAATCCTGTAGTGCTTGCTCATTCCAGCCTCTTCTGCATGAAATCTATGCCAGCTCCAGGCCTGCTTCCAGTGTCAAGGCAATGGCACCAGTAGTTACATACTGGATGTAATAGCGGCTCCATGCAATGTTGTGGACGTATGGTTTAAACGCTTTCCACCACAGGAAGTAATAGTGAATGCTAAGTAATTTTTCTGATTTTCTGATTTGATTCATTTTGAATCCATATGAGCATCACTTCATTTTCTCCTTTTACTCGTACACCATGAATTATAGCTCTACCTTAGAAAAACTAAAAGTACCACAGAATGGCATCCACTGTTTAAGTCTTACAAAGGTCCCCAGTTAGCTTGTTGGCCCATGCCAACCAGCACTCTTCCAGAAGTGCTTTCAGGCACATATCAGAATGCAGATACTCCAACACCAGTTGGACTCAATGCTGGAGAGTGGTCCCAGGTCCATCTCATTTGCAAGCACACACGTGGTCTGGAATCTCGGTATATCCTACTGCCCGGGATATTCCTGTGCCTTCTTTCTTGCCTCTCTGGTAATGAAAGTGTCAGTTTTAAATACAGTGCACTAGTTAGTGAGTTGGAGGGGAAAAAAAAAGAAAAAAAAGAAAAAGCAGCACCAGCTTTGCTTATTGCTATTACATAAGGAAAAGAACTTTTTTGCTTATTGCTATTATATAAGGAAAAGAACTATTTTTTTTTTTCTTCCCAAGAGTACAGTGTATATATATTTCTCACATCTCTGGAAAAATATCGTGTGAAAGTACTTGATAAATAATGAAAATGACTCTGCATTTCAGAAGAATGGATCTTAATTTTGCTTTAAATGACGACTGGTGACAATACGGAGGCAATATAAGCCCAGTCTAATCAATAAGATTAATATTCCGGGGGAAAAAAATCAGATAATTGTATTGATTTTCTCAGCATATTTTTAAAAGCAAAATGAACAATTAATTCTTTATGTAATATCAAGGGTATTAGGAATTAAAAGTTTTCAACATTGCAGATCATTGTCATTACCCTATGGAAATAAGGTTCTTATACTGAAAAGCATATTTAAGTCCTGTGCTGTGTTGTGAGAAGAGATTCTCTCACCCAAAGTCCACTGCTGTCGACAGAGAGAGTTCCAAAGGTCTCAGTGATCTTTGGTTCAGGTCTCACTAAAACATCTCCAGATCTACTGCTCTAGGAAGAGCAAAATTACTGTATGAACAAAATCTTGATCTGCTGGTTCTTGAATAAAAATAAATAAATAAATAAATAAAATTGGATGATTTCCGTAAGAATGAGATCCAGTCATGACACATAAATGCACTTAGTCTGTGCTAAGTGTATTATTTCAAGTCATTAATTAGCAAGTTGCCAAATATCCCATCTGTATGGAAACTATCATTGCACCTCTTATTCAGATGAACAATATATATATATATATATATATATATATATATATATATATATATACGTATTTTTTTTCCCCTGAGAAACTCGTTTATTTTATTGTACCACCTTATTTTTATACAGTAAAATGTGAAAATACAGCATGCTTTGGAGTTACTCTAAAACCGTCCTAAACATAAAACCTATCAACCTGATATATAGCAAGAACAGGTAAATGGTATTCTCTGTGCTGCTCACATCTGTCTTCCCTGCTTCTCTTTTGCTTATCACTTGTAATTAAAGAAGGGTAGATGGCTTATAACAGAGGAATTCTAATGTAGGCGATGTCCCCCATTTAATGACGTTAAATTTCAGCCTACATTTCTGGGTCTGCAGACATAGAATGAGAAAGAGATCCATGGATTAGATACAATAACGCAGAAGAAAACAGGAAAAAAAAAAAAAAAAAAAAGAGAGAGAAAATGAGAAACACCAAAGGAGAGAAAAGATATGTCACTGGAACTCAATGGGTTTTATTTTCTTTATTCACTTCTATTTTATTCACCAGTGGCAGAGAACAGGAGCTGGGAGGAGAATCACAGTTTTAGAGATGGAGAAGCATATGAGTAAATTGTGCCTTTTTATATTTCTAAGAAGACATGGTGATAACGCCAGCATTTTCAGTAATTAATTTTAAACACTGCATTGTGCCTTGTTACACTGGAAAGGTCATTTATCTGAAGTGTATAATCAAATATGAAAATGGTGAATTGAATTTTTTTTTTTTTTCCAGACCTGATAAAACAGTCTCAAATCAACCTTTTTATGCTCTGCTTGGTAAGAAACCACTATGCAATCTGTCTACATCCTACACAGCACATGTCATTCTTGGACAAGTTGAACAGGTGGGACCACACAGATTCAGATAAGATCTCCTGTGCTCAACAATAACCAGAAACAAATACTAAAGTGTGAGGACATGACAAACGTGTATGAGACCACTCCTGAACAATGTTCTGGGCTTCTCAAGCTGAAGTGTCCCTACCTATTCAGGTTTTCCTAGCACAGTAGCCTTTCCTTAACTATAGTCATCTTGGCAGCCCCTCTCTGGCTCTGTCCCAGGTCTACTCCAGGGAACCAGAACTGCACATAGTATTCAAGGTTGGGGTGAAATATGAATTTATGCATTGGCATAATGACATTTTCTACTTTGTCCTCAAATTCCTAATGATTCCTAACTCTCTGTATGGTTTCTGATCACTGCTGAGCACCGAGGCAATGTTTTCATGGGACTTTCTACTGCCATCCCTGAGTGTTGCTCCTGTGTGGAGCAAGAGGCCATCAGCCCAGAGGTCATGAATCTTCATGTGAAATTAGTTTTTTGTTGTTGTTGTTTGCTATGTATGTCATTTTATGTTATTTATCTGCATTTCTTCTGATATTTCATTGCCAAGTCACCAAGACTTTTCAGGTCCTATGGTTTCCTACAACCTGTACTCATCTTTCCTGTCCCCACTGACATTCTCATAAAGCTGTTTTCTCATCACACTGATCTCTTTTTCTGGGTCATCTATGAACACAGAGAATGGCAGAAATGTCAGCACCGTTCCCTGTAGAATTCATCTGGGAACCACTCTCCCCTGTAAGAATTTAATATTTCCTCCTACTTTGTGTTTCCTATTTGGCAATCAGTTCTTCATTTACTCAAGGATTTCTGCTCTAATGCGGTTGCTGTAGCTCCTTAAAAGATTTTTGTTAAGGAATTTCCCAAAAGCCAATGGGAAATTCAAGTAGATTTTATCAAATAGACTACTCTTATCCACATGCATGCTGACCCCTTGAAAAAATCATTAGAAGTTTACAAAGCAGAATTTTCTTTTACATAACCTGGGCTGCTCTTCCCAAATGGGTCATGTTGATCCACAAGGCCTTTCATTATATCCTTTATTACAAACTTTAATTAACTGCCCAGTACAAATGTCTGGCCTACAAGCCAGTAATGCTGTCTCCTGCTGTCTCCGTGGAAATAAAAGTAGGTTTTCAGTATGGTTACTTAAATTGTGGACCACGAAAATTTATTTCTAAATCGTCCTGTCTATACTGACTGATTAAGTTATCTGTCAGACTCTCTCTCTCTCTCTCTCTCTCTCTCTCTTTCCATCTGTCTTCTACGTATCTTCTATCTATCTGTATCTTTCATTGGAACACCACTAGCTTCTCTGTATTGCCTTTTTCCTCGCAAATAGGAAAACACTCCCCAGTTTGGTGATAATGAGAACAACTTAACAGCTAGTAGTATATATTTTATATATATATATTTATATATATATATAGTATTTACAGCCATATTTAATCTTATAAGCACTATACACACCGTTATCTAACAAAATTCAGTAATCTAACATAACTGACTTAGTATAGACTTAATATGAACTGGATATCCCTACATTCGTTTTTTGACTTCCATTATTTTTTTTTCTGTCAGATACTTTACCCAAGTTATGTTGGGTAATGGACGTGTATCAGATTTCACTCATCCCAAGAAAGCAAGAAGTCATGTTTGCTCAGTTCCAACAGCCAAGGTCTTTTCCACAAAGAGGAAAGAGAGGAGGCTTTAACAGTATCTCAAAGCCCATTTTTGTTCCTGGATTTAAAGCAGGGTAGTCTGTTCCATGCTTCCACTGAGTGTGCTTAACAGATCTTTTCCCATAAGCAAAGATGGATATAAAGCAATTCTTCTGTTTCAGTCCAGGTTCTTGTGTCTGCAGAGTGACATCTGACACAACTGAATGTATTTAGATTGTTCCTTCAAAATCCTCCCTCCTTTTTCCTCATATTCAGATTTAATCTTGTAAAGCCAACATATTCTTTAATCTTCCCTTCCAAATATTAGAAAAAAATATTCAGTTCCTAAAATAAAGATCTCTCATGTAATCAGTGAAAAGTATTCATTTTTACATGTCATAATTCTGGGACTTCTGCTCTCCAGAGAACATTCTATTAAAACAGAACAGTCAGCAATTGCTGATCAATAGGCAATTGATTTATTTTATCATATGGTGACAATAATTGACAAGGCCTGGAAATGACTAATTGCTTTTTGCAGCCTTGGTT